CAAACCCCCCCCCCCCCCCCCTATAGCTGTTTCAATGCATTCACGTATTGTTCATTTTCGTGTAAACATGGAGCAATACGTAGCAGAATCGATGATTTAGTACAGATAACTCTGAAAAACAATTTTAGATCAGAACTTAACTATACTGTATAGGCTCTGCGATGTCACACTTCTGTTGGTAGCGCTAAGTCTCAAATGTTTTCAGCTGTAAAATCCGGCCCATCGGAGAATAAATCTGTCACAATCACTTAACAGTTCCCTGATTTGAATATAAAGTCGGCTATCCGTCACTTCTAGCTTGGCCAGTCTTCGTATGCTGTCTACACTTGATCACATTCATTGTGTCCAATTTACCGATTTAATATGCACAAAACAAATTATCTCGTTCACAACACCTGGCAACGTCTATATTTTAAATCACAGTTCCTGTTATATCCTTTTCTCATCATTATTATTTCGTCAAATAAGCATCTGCAGCTTTTAATTAATGGCAGGGGTTAGTCACTCCAACAGATGTTGTCTACACACGGGATGATGGATTTACACGAACTGCATAGCCAACTGTAGGGACCACATTACTTGCTTGTTGAATTCCGTAGTACACTCGGCACGGTCTGGTCGATTCACGTCACGGCCAGGTAGAATGTTTGCTGTTCGTCTACAAAGCCTTTGCACCAATTAGGTCTGTGGCCATCGTACCAGTCTCTTTATGAGAATTGGAATTAATTACTGAGGCTGCATACCCATTAAACCAGGCAGGTCTCGAGGACCGACATAACCACTATTAACAGTGAAGGTGCTGTAATCATACCAGTTAAACATAGAGGCGTCTAAAGAGCTATTTTGCACGAGTCACTTGTGAAGGCGTTTGCATCCACTGCTCCAGTTAGGTTAATTGTGGATTCGCTTATAAATCCATGAAGCTAGTCATACACGTGGCACTATAGCCAGAATCAAAGGTTCTTTGTAGAACTGAGGGTCTCATTAGTCGGCGTTACAACCACGACGGGTGGCGTCGTCTTAACCAATTCAAAGGGCATGAGAACAGCGGTGTATATACAGTTAATAGGCTAGAAGGAGAAGGGATTCTCTAGATGCTGTACTGAACTTAAGAGAACGTCTATATAGCGTCTAATAGGCAGGCCGAGAGGCATCTGTACAGTCAACAGTGGCCTTTATATAACTATTGTTACAGACACGGTTCCTCCAATCAGATGAATAGGGACTTCCCGATTTAAATTGTAATGCTGCATACTGTGTCTGAACTTGCCGAGGAACTTCTTCTCTGCATGTCTTTTGTTTCACTGAGTTATGGGTTGAGACATCTGAATTATTCAGAATGTTTTGTCTTCTTGTATGCCATGTAAAGTTTACAAATATAAAAACTAACCTATTTTGTGCGCATGTTAAATTTGGACAGTGACAAAATGCAAAACAAATTGAGATTATGAGACCAGAGAGCTTAGGAAAATACTTTAACTAAAGAGGATGAGATGGGCAGGGAATATAGTCCTTATGGTGGATGACAAATACTTGCAAAATTTTTGGCTGGAAAGCCCAACAGGAAAAGCTCAGGACGAGGACCGCTAGCAAGCTCTTGTGAGCGTGGTAAACGTACTAGGGTTAGAGTCCGTCGACTCGAACTATATAGGTAACTCTTCCTGCAAAGTACAGATGAATTTGAATACCTGCATGCCAGCCAGTCGGAGGCATGGTTAAATAATAAATGCAACTTTGGTAGGAGATAAATACCGAGTAAAATTAACTAAAACAGACTCGCCCAATGATCACCGAAGGCAAACGAATGAATGAACGGTAACCAATAAACACACTGCAAAGTAACAGGGGATTAACAACTTATACAAATTTAATTTCAAACCAATCAGAAATGGCAAATCTGAAGTAACATGAATGACGGAGTAAATTAGCACAAGGAACAAAAGAAACAGCAGAACATCGCAAATTATTCACCTTACCTCACCAAGTCTTCCATCGAGCATGATTAGAACAAGTTCTCCCCTTGTTCTGAACGTCACGATGTTTCGCGGGTGGGATAACGCCCACACAATTGCGGGGGTTCGTACGGATTCCACGAAGGACCACACGATTGCAGGGCGCAGAAATGATGGAGCCTCCTACACAACACGGCAAGCTCAAAAGAGTGTGACGTAGAGATAAGAGGAAAATTGGGGGAGGGGGGCATAAGATCTAGAAATTAAACAGGACAAAAATAAAGGAATGTTCTGGGACCCATCTTCAGGCAAAACCAATCTGTAACTCAACTTAATTTTCTTCAAAATACTATCAGAAGAAAACTATTAAAATTTTGCTAATCACACGCCGCAACTGACGCGCATCGAAAACTCCATTCACCTCACGTTACCTACAAAACCATCCCACTAATGATCTCGCGAGAATAAAATCACAGCAGATATTCTTATCTGTGAGGTCCCAGGTTCAAATCTAAACCTGAAGACGAGCAATTATTTTAAGTTAATTTATAATTATCTCCAACTCCGTACAGTATCTTCATTTGGGGGATGCCCGTTTCCTTCCTGATCCATTCTAATTCATTATGACCCGACACTATGGAGTGTCAGCCACTGACAAGGCATTAATCCTGTAGAATTACAAGTAATGGGTGTCCACGACAAAAAGACGCAGGGTTTAGCCTCAAACATTTAATCTCATCTCACAACCACCAAGCAATTAGCGTACATCAGATTTACAGATTTTCAAAACAAAGTCACGTACAGTCAATGAATCCGCATCTATTTCACAGGCAGCGCCCGATTTTTCTGCGTAAGCTTTCAGATGAACACGTCCATTTTGTTTTTTAACTCTGGCCTCGAAATACAATAATCAGAAATAAGAATTAACTCGACGGAAGATAAAATGTGGTCGTCTGTATAAAAAAAAAAGTCTAGTACGTGGAGGTACCACCCGATAATAAAATAAATTAATGTGAAACTGAGAACGCTTTTGTCAGTGAGGATCGCCGGCCCCGCCGCAAGGAACGTCAACGCAAATAAACACGCCCTTATTCATTAGAAAGAATTTAATACATACTCAGCATGTGACATAAGAGGTCCTACAGAAACATATCAAGATACAAAATTTATTTTATAATAAAGCATGGCGACAGCAACCGTGTTGCTTCGCGCGCGCCCTTCTGTTCGCCGTTACGGCGTCAAACTCAAATGACATTTTACTTACCTAATACAGACACAGTGACGAGAATCAAATTGCGTATTATCCTGAACAGTTAACATTACAAGGCTTACAGCCAACTATCATTTATTCAAATTCACAATTTTTTTTTATATTTATTTTTATAGCAATTACTTCAGTTGGCTTTTCTTTATTTCACTCAATAATATAATACGATACAGTTTGGTGAAACTCCGCCGGCTGGGGGAGAGATAGATAGAGAGAGAGCACTTTGCCCCCCGGGCCATGAGACTAGATGTGGATCTGCAGACAGGCTGGCAAAGTGTTCTCACGGAGTTGTTAAGATGACCGAGCCAAAGAGAACGAAGGGCGAGTTAGTTCCCTTCCGGCAGCGGCTCCGCTCCACAGCGCGGTTACTGCCGATCGGTGGCACGCAATTTCTCTTCAACAGCTTCTTGCGATGCTTCGGATAGGTCAGTGGCCTAAAATAGGAAGACATGAATAATCATCTGCACAGCTTTCATTTTACGGTACTTGCTACCTACCGCATGTTTCAGGCGTCCGCGGTGGACGCGCGGTCCGAGGCGAGGGCCTTGTGCCGCTGGGACCGTGGGTTCGAATCCCACTGAAGCCACGGATGTCTGTCTGTGTCGTGCTGTCCTGTGAACAGGTAGAGGCCTCGCGACGGGCCGATCCCCCGTCCGAGGAGTCCTACCAAAAAAATGTCTACAGATCGAGCCAACGAAAAGTTGGGACCTGCGGTGCTCAGGCACTTCAAGACCGGGTCGTTCCCAGTATGTTTCAACCTAACCAGGTCACCTGGCCTACAATTCACGAATGACGTTGGCAGAGTTTCAGACGCTTCTGCGCATCTACACTGATGTCCCCCCCCCAGAGCCAATCATCATGTTCATGCTCAAATGGGTAGCAATGCTGTTTGTGTTACACGTCAATATCACGTTTACACGAGGCGAACTAAATTTTCAATTGGCGTATAAAAATGCCGTCACTTCAAATTCAGAGCAGATGAAACTTGTACGTGTGTCACGAAGTCCGACGGCAAGGGCTGTGCTTCCGTTGTGCTACGGATCTTTATCGCCCTTAAAAATCCATCGACCTCGGCAGGGTTTGAACCCGCGAAAACCTCGGGTCCAGTGGCAAGTCACCAACATTGTACACTTGTTTATTATTCAACAACGGTTCATAATTTCTACGAACTGGAATTGATACCGAGATCAACTGGAAATGGACACTGAAATATCCAAGAGACGACGTCTCAATCGCCGTCTTCAAAGTGTACGCAGTCCAGTAAACCTTTTGCTAAGAACACAGAAATAAATAGACTTTGGAGACGCATGCGCTTAAAATGATGGTACCGTAATTCCAACCGTTCGTTTTGTTGTTGCATCTGCCCGTATATGGACCTTCCCTACGTTTCGTCACTTACAGTCGTCATATCTACTACGTATTATCTGCCAAATTTGAAGAAAGACATCGTGATGACTTTTATGGGACGTTAAACTACGTTCTGCGGCAAATAAGACTCTATTTCACCTGAGCATCCACATTCGCTATTAAGTGGTTAGCGTAAGAGGCCACGTACGCAGGTCGTAAGCCTTTAAAACGTCGGTATTTACCTCGAGTCCACACGTCAGAGCCCAAAAGAAAGACGCCGACATCTTCGGCACGGAGGGAACCTCATTCTCACATAACATGATCATTTAACCATATTTTAATGACGCATACCTGAATGTACTTCTGAACACCAACGAGCGATTTCTTAAGGGCGTCGAAGCTGGATGAATACAACATCTTCTTCTTCACCTTTGCAGTGTCAGGGCACCAGGACATCAGGAACAGCTTCTGTTTCTTCGATGCCTGCAATAACACAACGGCAACAGATAACGAAGGGCCTCTCGTACTTGACGACGACCAGAACTCTGGTCCACGCTTGAACAGTTCTACGCGCCATCTTACGGTACCTCAATAAAACGCGATTACTTTTTCATTCACCGCATTTTTCTACATTTCAACGACAACCTGAATGAGGCGAACGAAGACCGAGAAGAACGACGACGGACTTTACAAAATTAATCCTTACTGACACGTTAAATTTTACAATCCATCTTGACGAGGTAGATGTCGTCAAGTGATACATTTCTGAGGAGTATAAATGCTTCGGTGCAAAGATTTAACAATTTTGCCACGTTAAGAGCGTGTAATTGGTAAAGGGCTGGCGAAAGCAACGCGTGTGACGGCGAAGTGTCGCCACAGAAGTGGAAGACGTTGGCTTATACACTTTACACGGACATTTTTTTATATCTTTTCTGGATTTACCTGATAATTTGCAGGTAAGGGGTACCAACTGTTGCGGAAATTTCAGCCAGAGCTGTAAAAAGGTCCAGAGGGAAATTTGCCAACAGGATACCGAAATTGAAATGCGGTGACATACGTGACGACGACTTGGAAAGACAAGTGAGACGTGTACAATGACAAATGGAGATATACCGCCAGTAGAACGGGAAAGTTCATAATCACAGGTTAACTGGCGAAGGAGATCCGAGTGGACAGAGACTTTTTTTACCTGCTGAATCCGACAATACAGAATAGTTAATTTGCGATGCTGTGCAAGTTTAGTGGGGGGGAAGGGGGAAAAAAATTACAATTCTGAATTATCCACGCGGAAGTCAGCCTTCTCTTAAGACGAGCGAACACGAACATTTACTCCGCATTTCCGTGCCCTCGCTCTCAGAACCGAACCCCATCAATTTTTTTACTCAAACCAACTTATCCAGACAGGTTTAAGTTCTTTGAGGGTACAAGAGAGTGTAACGCAACGAACGACCATAAAAAAGGTGGGCAATTTCACGAATCCATACCTCAGAAGTCCCTTGGCATTGGTGCGTATATTCAAAATCGAACAGTCCATATCTGCATTCGCCAGTGCCGCCCTTCTGAAGGTCTTCTAGGAACTGGTCGTAGGCCGCATTACGTTCACCTTGAACACAAAACAGGAATCCCTTCACCTATCTTAATTTCAGACTGTTAACGTAGTCTTTGGCGAAGAGTACTTTTGATCTGGCTGCACCCGATCAGAATAATCTAATTTACATTTACAAATGATAAATTAAAATTTTTTTAAACATATATTTTGGGTTGAAACAGATAATATCCAAGACTGCAAAAAGGTAAATAAACATCTAACCAATCACCTCTTAACCTTTTAAGCGCCACCTGCTTTAATAATCAGTAACTCAGCATCTGGTCCAGATAGAACATTAATTTGTTTATAATGGCCCTCGGAGCAAACAGCAACAACTATTTGATCGAAAGAGTGAACTGTCTTTTGTCTTCAAAGCGTGGACTGAATGTTAAAATGTAATTAAGCCTTCTTGGGCTACGAGCCGTGTAAGGCGGGGGTTTAATGGAGAAAACACCAATGTTTTTGAGTTTTATTATTATTTAGTGTTCTGTGTGACGACAGGTCCATATGAACAGGATCCTTCGATCCTTTTCTCGGACTGGGACCTGTTCATATACGTTCTTGGCAGATGATCCAGAAGTGGTTTGCCATTGCCTTCTTCTGTGTGTGAATGGAGTAATTGTTGGGATGCCACGGAGGAAAACTCCGTGTTGCCTAGACCACGGCCTTGCCCAACACAAGTTATAAATTCGGGCACTGCCGGGAATCGAACCCGAGACCCCCCCCAGGATTACAAGGCCAGCGTTCTAACCGCTAGACCACCGTGGCTACCTTGTTTTTGAGTACGAAGATAAATCTAAATCATAGTATGAGTTCCTGGATTCTGTCCGTTGTCTAGTATTCCAAGCAGAGGACAGAAACATCCCATTTACAAAATTTACCAACAGAATAACAAAAAAAGTCCCCAAACGTGTCATTATCATACGAATGCCTTACCTATAACTTCAACGTCTATCTGCTTCTCGTCTCTAATAAAGAAAACCACGTATCGATGTTTTTTATCCTTCTTAATTTCTTCATACGTAGTTTTACACACGTCAGACACTGTGACTCCAGAAGCCTGTAGGACCAAGAAACATAATTAGTTAACTCGTTCATGGGCACAATTTAATTATAAAACAGTGCACAAACATGGCAACTTTCCGCTCTGTATAAATATGACCAAGCAGATCCACACGACTACCAACTGACGGAATAAAACTTCACAAAAAAATTCGACAAGGTTAGATACAGTACATTTGGGCCCACAATGACACAGAAATGAAAAATATTATTGACAACACAAAAAATACAACCCAAACAAGGAGTAATGTTTGAAACGGTCCAACCCCTATTTAATTACCAGTAAAAATTATAGTGACACTTAGGAAGGGGTACGATACAAATAACCTCGTCGGGGTTTCTGTAAAACGTCTTACGTAATTTACCTCGATGCTTCGAAGTTATATTCAAAAAAGACGCGGTTGGGCCATCAACTGAAAAATGATCTGAGGTGCACAAATTACCAGATACACATTTGGTTCGTTAGTTACGGACCGGAAGTCAAAGTTTAACACGCAGAGAAGAATGAACACGCAAACTGTCAGCTTCCTGTATATACAAGGGCACAGACAGAGTATGTGGGGGGGGGGAGAGGAGGATAGGAGGGGTAAACCATTTCGTCCGGTGCTGTGGTTTCGCCAAAGCATCGCCAGGTAAAATATCACAATCTGAAGCCAGACTCTAACCTAACACGCAATTTACAAAGTCTCGCGGTCTTCATAAACTAAACACCAAACTTCAATCGTCCAATCAAATGTACTGCCACTGTGACATACGTCAGAATACGAAATGGTTGCCTTGTGCGCCCCGCAAACACTACGCCCAAGCCCCCATAGCAACGAGCCCGAAAATCGCGAAACAATGTCTGGGGGTAGAGGACGGTATAAATCCTGCTATGGGAGTGGCAAACATGTTAATTATTCTTAAATATATATTTTATTTACTGATCCTGAGGCGAGAAATGTCTTACCAGGAAACTGCAATGTTATTTCCTTGAGTAACGTGACGAGACACACGTCAGCGATAATTAACGGAGTGAGTCGAGCAACTGCTAACAGCACGAAATGGTGGATCCTACATTTAACCTCGCTAAGAAGACGTGCGCGATGATAATTCTGTCAAACCACTTCAAGAATTTATTTTCATCTCCCTCCTCCTCCCCCCCCCACCTCTCTTCATTGATTACGTGGTTGCGGCATGACCATATATAGTCAACAGTTGGTATGTCATGCGCAATCAGCAGGCAAAGGAAAGGATACCAACTTTGGCCGCCGCCAATGGAACTATTTTAAATAAATTTCTGCAATATCACTCGAAACCCGTCACTCACATTACAAACTCGGGTGTAACCCAGTGTTTCACAACCTTTATTACCCACAGCGGCACACCCTAATTTGTCAAGACACACGATGACACGCCACGAAATTTAGTCTCGCCAAAAAAAAGCGAGTACGACAACGTTGCAAAAGTTTCGCACATGTAGACTTCCAATATTTAAAAAAAAAAAAAAAAAAATCCTACATCCACGGACCAACAGAACTTTTGAATCTGACCGCCATATTGTAACGGTTTTTAAGCGCCAGTACCTGTGTACTACACAAACGCAAAATGAAATTTGAAGATGTCGAAACAATCTACCAACATTTCCACAAGGCGTTATAAACCCAGGCCACCAACAATTATATTTGTTTGAAAAGGGCACAAGCGACGCGTCGCTGTTCCCGATATCAGCTGCCAAGTCACAAGAGCGAACGCCATCTAGGGGATCACTATACCCAGGGCAACTAATTTGGGCACAATAAGTCTATTTCTGAGGGGGGGGGGGTCTTCATCAAAATGCACGTGAAACCTTCCGTCTAATTCCCAGCAACAGAAATATACATTACTCTCCCAATTGTAACTGACGACAATTTTAAGTTGCGTAAAGCAAATTCACGTTCGCCATTTTAACGATTAATAACTCTTTGCAGTTTTATGTATTTTACAGTCTTGCAAAAATGGCACATGGAACCAATTTTCGAGATTAAAAATTACGATCTGCGCGCGCATCAGTTATGTTCTGGCTTTTAAATATGTTATCCGGTACTATTTATGGTCCGTGAAGAAACAGACAATTTTAATTCCGCTCTGATTAGTATTAGCACATACAATGGTTCCCCTAACCTTCAAATTCCCAGAACGCCTAGGTCGTGTCATCCGCGGTTGGCGAAGGGCTGCAACGTGCGCATACTGACAATTCTTCCTGGCTCTTATCAGAGGAAGGTGGGGGAGGGGGTCATTTACAACGGTAAAAAAACCCAGGCATATCAGACCACATGTCCATGCACCCCAGCACAGTACCAGTTAAAAAGAAAAGTATTCCAGAACATTTGGGTGGCATTCCAATAACACGCCAAGCAGGGGCAGGGATAGGCTACACGCGCCTCTTTACCGGCATGATTAAATTTTTTCAGAGCTGCCCCCTTGGTCACTTGACCGCAAGACTTCCGTGACGTCGCGAGTGGTCAATGACCATTAAAGACACTTCTTTAACCTCTAAAGTAGCGCCGGCATCCACAACTTGATGGCTAGAAAATTAAAACAAGGCCAGATTCGAACACGTGATCAATGAATGGGGGTACGCTCAAAGATGTAGGCGTCGCGTAGTCTCGCAGATAGCGAGACTGCACGGCGCTGCATCTCAGAACAGCCGTCTTTATTCTCGTCGACGTGAGGTCGATTATGTTGGGACAAGGTAAAAGAAATGGGGGGGGGGATGTCATATCCGACAACCGACGTTCGCCTGGGACTGAGAAAAAACGCTTGGAAAACCTCAGTCGGAGTCGGTCAAGACTCGAACAAGACACCTCCCGAACATCGCTTGCGCAAACCTACACAATATTGCAAGTCACGACAATCTATACATAGCTATTGCGCATGCGCCACTCCTTTCGCTGATTCTGACAGTGACAAGACACAGAACGCAAGCGATAAGATATCACGGAGTTCACGTTATCTTTTGGTGATGAATGCAATCCCCACAAGCTCAACATTAGACGTGTATCGTCTTTTCTAGAACTGCTAGAAGGGACAACAATGAGCAACTGTGATGAAGGGCATTCGAAAGCAATGCCTCATTCTTCCTGCCCTCCCCCTCCCCACCCGTTATGACTCACGTCGACACAGTAATAATCACCAGTTAATGCAACTGGTTACTCACCTGTAATAAAAAAACACGAGAGCGGAGCGAATTTAACCAGTCATACACTAATTAATGTCTACACGTCTTCGCCACACAACCAGCAAACCAACAATGGGGCAGTTGCAACTAACGGGACACAAAACAAACAGCTGCTTCCAAGTGTCAGCGAATAAAACAACTAATCTCAACTAGTCAAGAAATTCATGGCCTTTTATGTAACTCCAAGGTTCACACAACAGCCCCAACAATGGTCAAAAATGAATTCAGACCACAATACCACGGCCGGTGACTTCTAAATGACAAGTTTTCCAATAAAAACACATGTCCCAAGCGTGCTACACGTTTCGCCCATTGTAACCTCCTTTACTGCAATCCGAAACTAGTGCAAATTATGAAGGTTATCATTACGCAATTTTCTCCAGCCATTAGTCACTCCTACCCGCAGCACCTTCACGTCTACCAAAATCAACAAAAATCCAATAACCAAACTTCGACGCTTAAGTCACTAACCCATCAGCCAGCTACGTTGCCATTTTGTTCAATTATGAACACACTAAATACAATACAGTACAACATTTGAACAAAACAATTCTTGTGTGACGAGGCCCTTGGAAAATGCAGATATCAAGGAATGGGCACCTTTAAAAGGGGTTCACTACCACCTCAACATTGCTACAACCCCTATGCAACGTTAAAATATACGCCGAATGGTCATATTACTGGAGAAGCTTGGTACTGGCTAATCTCACGAAATGCCTCAAGTGACATGGCACAAAATATGGCACCGTTGCCAAATAACGGTCCCGGAAAACTACCAATGCCAACAGACTTCAAGTCTGTCCAAACAATTCACACGATATCCTATGGAAACACATTAGCACGCAGCCAATACTCAATACTGCGTTCACGAACGACCTTCAGCACGTTTGTTCTGCAATGAACACGCGAAAGTATTCAAATGTCGTCATACCAACCGTCACGAAAAAACACCGTATTCTCAGCTAGTTCAAATCCAGTCTCATTGTTACGAGATTTATTATGTTCGTCTCTGAAGTAGACAATGCCCATTACGTTACATTTGGGTTTCCGAACAATGCACGTCTATCATCGTATTTTAAAATCAACGATTTAGACTTTGAACAACAATAACAGACAAGTCTCGAAAGTCGCCAACTTCGAACACTTTCTTGAAAACAACAAACGAGCAGCTTGTTTAAACGTCAACTAAATCGTAAAATCATGGGCTTTCCACAGCATCAAATTGGTCCAATTTTTTTTTAATGATATCTTTAAGAATCGGATGGTATAAAAATTGTACCAATGTTTCAAAACATGGCTGTCTGCAGATTCAATTCACCAGCACAAACGGGTTATTCTGAAAACAATTTACCCTACACTGCAAATCTGGATAGTAATCGGGAAAACATCACAATTAAGGCGATATTCTTGTCAAGGCCGAAATTTTGGCATTCGAATTCATACAATTTCTACACGCGATAACTATCGCCCATTGCTTTGGAACAAAGCTATTCGCCTTACAAGCACCCCCGCCCACAGGAACGAGCTTTTAGCGACATCCTCTGGCGTGGGATGGCCCGAGAGACTATTTTGGGAGACTGGAGGTTAGTGTCGTCCCGTAGGTCTCAGTCCATCCCTCTACCCTCGGTACGTGTTACAATTGGGTTACTGAAGACGTAATGCACGATCTATCCCGTCCACAGTTTTGCCACTAAAACAACTTTGTCAGAAATGCTAAAATTTACCTTTGCATGGTGAAAATACGAAATCACACATCTCTTACTACAACCCGAGAGATAAATTACGTCCCAATAAATTAATAAAACAACCTCAACTGACTAAATTCCAATTTCAGGATGTAACATTTCCTGCCGTTGAAATCCTTATGCCAACAGAAATTCTCGTTATCAGAACTGTACCAAGTTATGTTTAACAGCCGGTGCAAAAAGCTGAAGAAACGAGCAATGGGATGATCCACACAAAACTTTTCAAGCTGCCAATCTGAAACAGTTTACTTGGTTTCAGAACGACCAAATTCATGTCAATTAAAATATCTTCATTGCTGGGCCACAAAAAAAAATCCCTAGCAAAGACTGTAATTTCTCACTACGCTAAACTTGTTTCATAAGTATTGAATGTTTATTCAGACACTATTATTAGCCCTTCTGGGCACCAGCATCACTTATTCCTTTGAAACTGAAGACTGTCTAAATTATATTTCAGAATTCAGTCCATACCACAAATAAAACACGATTCCTCTCTACTGTTGTTGTTTCTTGGCTCTACAACCCAGCTGTGGGTTTTTACGGTCTCCTTTTCAGAGGTTTCTTGGTATTTGAAGAGTGCATTTGCGAGTAGTGAGTGACCAGCCCACTCACTCTGATTCCTCTCTATTACAAAGGTCAAATGGTTAATGCTATTTAAGTACATAACTATTGTTTATTCTGAGAATCATATTGAATCCATAAATACAGACTGCAAAGTTATTAGGCTTTAAAAGTTTTAATTTTTCTGAACATATATCATACTATCCTCCATACAGCATCTCAGTATCTTCTACTTCACTTCACCAAGAAACAGTTCACACTGATATCCGTCAATGGTAAGGATGTTTGTACGATGCAGATAACTTGGATTCCACAAAATCTGGCTACTGGCTTAGCCCATAAGACTAAATTACAGCTTGGTGCAGCAGTATCTCAAAATAATTCACAGCTAATGATTGTCTTCTAAATTATTCATGAGTCGTTGCTCATCTACACCAGCAACACAAATCATTACAAAACACATAAAAGCAGGAGAGATAAATATGACAGTTACTACAGCAATTCCGTCAGCTATCAAATATTTCTAAAAGAACACAAGTTAGCACTTGAAAAATCACCAATGAAAATTAAACTAGCACTAGAGGTCCATATGAGAGTTACTTCTATAAAATAAAAATGAATGTAACCTGTTTACAACTCCTCACCTTCATACTTAACTTACATCTTAACTGAATGTGATACATAAGAAATATCTTCATAGACAATGGAGCACTTGGTAATACCTGACATGGCAAGTTAAATGCTTTTGAAGGAAAATGTCAAATTCCCTGTGTAACATACACAATTCAAGCACACATTAAAATTATGCATGTAAAAAATTATCCTGCTTGTATTTGTGTAACTCAGAACACTAGTATATAATGATGAAATGGAGGAACGATTATATTATTTCCACTGACACGAACTACATTTATATAAAGATGATGAATTTGTTCCTTTCAGAAAATACTCCCAGAACATTCTGGAAAACCTCACACTAAAACCAATGCTTAAACAATTATACTGCAAAACAAATCCATGATATTGAAAACTTGCTGATACATACCAATGTTACATTTGTATTTACAAATGACGGTACTAAAACCATAATTTAGATACGAATGAACTTACCTCCAATTTACTAACAATAACGTAGGCATAGGTTGTATTATTCAAAATTTAATGAATAAGTTTATTAGAAAACAATGCAATGACAGAATCTATTTTTGCACTCCAATGTGTAATCCGACCGCTTCTCCTTTAGGTTTAATGAAAATGGCGGCAGCCGGCATGTATGTCTGGCCAAACACTGATAGCAGTTTATAACGATCCATTCACAAAAAAATACCAATTAAAACTAAAATTCATTACATTCTTATTAACAAGCTTGTAAGTAAAGAAACTGCTTACCATTTCCCCTGAACAAAATCCACTTCACTCCTATTACACCGTACACAAAATAATACGACTACTCTGAACGGAAGGGTGTTTCGCTTCACGAACGACTGAATTCTCACGTAAATGTAGTCTGAACCGTATTAATGCGCAAAATCGTTTCATGAAAGAAGACTCCCTCCGATTGGTTAGATTTCAACAAATACTCCAATGGATACCGACCGTCCTCCAATAATATACAATGACTCATTACAATGTAGCAATCATAATTATTCCAGTAATGACTCCTTATATAGCCTTAATATTCCTATAAACATAATGTTCTACATTCCCCTAAGTAACAAGAGTCTATTTGAAACTAGAGTCAATTGTAGGGTATGTCAATGTTGTTTCACACAGAACTACTTTCATGCCGACCGTAGACTTTGTCATGCAACGCGGTTGTCTATACTGAACACTCAATTGAAGGTTCTTTAAATTCGCGTTTAGCTTTTTACGCAAAAAAAAAAGTTAAAAAGATTTTACATCTCCCTGTCATTACAGACTACGTATATCCAAATTATATTAACGTCTAAAATTAATGCACATTTCGCTTCGCGTCTACTTAGTTAAACAAATCACATCCATCTCACACAGTTTATATCCATCTAAAACAGCGAACCAATGAATGAAAAGTCATAGGGGATATTGCCTAATATGGTAAGGAGGGAATCATAACATGTTACTAGCCCTGAATCCCTTCCATATTTTCTTACCATACTTAATCAGATTATGATAAGAAGTTTAAATACACTTCGTCACGTGACCGATATGTTCCTTCAGGCAATCGAAATAATTACATACAAATGCCAGAGAGTAAATTTACTTCTGAATTAGTTTGAAATGTACAAATGGGGGTGGCAGTCTTAAGTTTTTGTCCACATAAGCTAAACATTTATTTAATTCATCCTGCTGTAAAACATGAAATGTTTTTAAATTATTATTAGAATTTTAAATTTCACAATACTAGTAGTTAATTTAAAAAAAATATTACATTCTTGTATTAGAATAAAAAACAAGTTAAAAGAATGTTCTAATATCACACACAAAAGTCAAAAGTAAAATTCTAACTACAGGGCCATGTAGAATAGGAAAATTGTTTCCAATTCTCTCTACTTTAAACAATGGGAACTACAACAAACAATTCTGAAGCAACAGTATGTGATACTGACCACCAACTTATAAAAAATTAAAAATATTACGGCCTCGAATAAAACTATATAACAAAATCTGCCTAAAAGTAGATGTTTGTCTACAGTATTGAATGAATTCCTTCTGACTCGCACCTTCTATCCCATATTTTATGTCTAACTACGCATCATATAAAATTACAAGAAATCTTTTACGTTAATGTTAACAGTTATAGTCTTGGAGCTAGTTTCTGCAGTATTAGTTTGGCAAAATAAAGTGCAAGTATTTTTGTCAAAACTGCTTAAAAATTTTATAACCGTCCTTTGGTTTTCGTGGCTAGACTTCAATGTACGCTGAAACGGACAGTTCTCGATGTCTGACGTGGCTCAACCCCAAAAGGAACGAGAATGCTGCATTGCACATGCCTTCTTGAGCACTGCCAGCTGCTTTAATCTCTCGGAAGTTTGCTTGTTTCACATGAGCTCAGGGGGTTTCTGTAAGGCAATGTGGCCCGTCTCTAAGGATATACAGGCCGCAGGTTTCGAGGACGTGAACAGTACTTACAGGTAGCTCGTGGACTAGGTATCGCACATCGCAGATGATAAACAGGTAGAATATAACCAAATGGTTTTATTGCAGCAATGATCTTATACAGGAGCACTTGCTTCGAAACACTTCTGATAATACACTGATACATTTATGCATGTGAGAACATAACTCTAATGTAACATTAACATATGAGAATGTTGTTCACTTGCCGGGGTAGCTCAGTCATTATAGTGACTGGCTACGAGCTGGACGACTGGAGTTCAGTCCCTGATGGGGTACCGAGGATTTTTCCTCTAGCCTGCGTTGAGATCGGTTCTGGGGCTCACCCAACCTCCTATCCAATGGGTACTGGGGAGCGGCCAGGGAGCGATGCTAACCACTCACCCCCCATCTAGTGCCAAGGTCAAGGATGAGGAGTACATCAAACACTTTCAAGTACGCACATTTAAAAATGAGTGTCTATTTGTTATCTGTTGTAAATTGTTGCAAGTCTGAATTCACGGCTATTAGATATCTCATCTGTCATAAAAGTATTTCTTTCGTAAATGCTCTTATCAGGTTTGGAGTGAAAATCATTAGGCAAGGTTAAAACGGCCAAACAGATTCAAGATATAAAGGTACATTGTTCGGCAGGCGCTCAGCTATGCATCTAAAGTAAGATATTTGGAGTAAAAATTATTAGGCAAGGTTAAAACGGCCTAAGATATAAAAGTACATTGCTCAGCAAGCGCTCAGCTATGCATCTAAAGTAAGATAAAGATTAACATAAGTCATTCATACTTATCAGCACTGATAAAATGAAATCTGGGAATAAATATGGACAGAAGAGGAAGGTCAGAATATTGGGAACTGGTGGTACTTACCAAACTGCCAAATGTGGCGTACAGGGTCAAACGTTACAGGATTTCCAATCTTGATCCGGGGATCTCGAGTCTGGAAGGCAGCGAGTCCGTATCAATGACCACCGATTACCAGCAATTTCTATAATTGTGGACTCAATGGCATTCAAAATTAATACAACTAACTTTCATTCCGACCACTGTCTGTGAACGTAAGACTCATCTTCCACCTCATTCAAGTAGATCTGGCAATGAATCTGAAAAATTCTGTAATAATTTCGGCTCAGATACCAGGAAACATTTATTATTTAAATTGAATATCCTGTCCTCATCAAGTTCTGGCTAACAGAATTTTTAATGTAAAGGTAACGCCCCTGATGCTTAACTAAGCCCCATGTCATGCAGACATATGGGGGAGGTTAAATATAGCCCCACACAGTCTTAAGCTCGGCACCAATCGAGACGAGTGGTCAGCTTCAGACCCATCTCAATTACCCACAACGAAAGAACTCCAGTAGTCGTTGGATATGAGGCTGGGTGTCCGCTACAGCTGATCTGGGCACTATTATAGAGAGAAAAATACTGCCCTGCTAGAGATCAAACCTGAGTCATCCAGCCCTACCACAATCACCATACTTACTGAGCTATCCCGGCTTATAACAAAATTTTAAATAAATATAAAAATATATGTGAACAAAAGAATTTTGAGCTGCTGCACAAGACAGGCACTGCAATGCAAATTCATCAAACTGACGACCCACATAATAGAAAGGTTCGAGAGACCAATTATTTGTGCATACGCATCTGGGCTCCTAGCTGCAACAATTCTCGGAACCTGCTGTGATTTTTTTGAAACTGACGACCCGCATAATAGAAAGGTTCGTGAGACCAATTATTTGTGCGTACGCATCTGGGCTCCTAGCTGCCACAATTCTCGGAACCTGCTGTGATTTTTGTTTAATTTAAATAACTTTTCCATTACCGCTGTTATACTTACTCAGATAATAATCTTTTTGGAATGCTACTTAACGAGCTTTCCATGGAGGTGTCAGTTCCATCATCTACCAATAAGGTTTTGAATCTGGCAGGGTATTAAGATTAGTTTCATGTGTTCGTGTCAGCTAGAATAAGAGCAAAAGAAGCGGGACACTGTCTTCACACCACAAACTCTTTCATCTGTCGTCACCTGCTCGTTTCGAAAAGTCGAATGCTGTACAACCAACAGACGTAAGACGTTCAGAAAGGTTTCCGGTCTTCGCAGTTCAGGTAATCTTATCTCCACCATTCTCCAGTAAGGATGACAGCGCTGTAAGGGTAAGCTGAGTTGCCATATCATAATCACATTGCCTACATGACAGTTTCACAATGCATGCTCATTTGTTTTCTCATCACAAAAGTTTTTTCCTCGCTGGTCGAAATGTCAGTACGATGTATTCCATTCCAGTCGGTCAATCACGTTACACGCGACAGGACTCTAAAGGTAAATTACAGCGAGTAGGAGACAGGACAGTGGGCGGCTTGAAAGAGAGACAGAAGCACGGGAACGTCCACTCATAGTTTACAGACACAGTGCAGCATCCCGAGGATCATGGACCACGTATGCCCCTATACGGGCACGCACCACGGCAGTGCTTTCCGTCCCGCATGTTACAACTGTTTGTGTGAAACAAATAAAAATAAAAGTATATTTGTAAGATCTACAAATATACGTTACACTTATTATTTTTCAGCCATCTCTTTTCTTAACCCTCGGCTGAAACTACATGGCACCGAAGAACAGGAAGAATAGTATCATCATCCTCACTGCCATCTAAATCTCAAATTTGATAATGGAAAATGCAGACTAAGGAACAGAAACAAGTTAGCAAATGTATCGCAACACGGAAATTATGATGCAATCACAAGGATTTGACTTTTGACACATGAAATAGTGGAAGAGCCCTGCTTATAGCTGCGTAAACACGGCAAAGAAAACAAAATTAATGTAAATTTCTTAATTGTTTTTAATTTATTAATTGTTGCATCATCTGCTTTCCTTGGTTAATACTGTAACCATGACAACCAACATAGCTCTGATAACCGAGTCATATGACATCCTCACAGAGGATCATCCTCCCAAGTTACAAGTCTGAGTTCCTGTCATGTTGATATTACTGATTGTAGGAAGTTACGGAGTACGATTTTGGTACGGCATCCAGCAGCATCGTGTTCACCAAAAACCTGTCCGGCCAATCTCAAGTTACTCTGTGTTTACAAGTGATCTGTCACAGATGAACAGGAGTAATAGTTACACTGTGGAGGATAATCCCCCCACCTTACATCTATCAACATCCATCACGTTGGTATTACCAACTGCAGGAAATTAAGCCTCCGTTAACACAATGTCCTATCAAATTTTATGAAAGTTCATCCAGCCATTCACGTGTTTTCATACGCACGCAGGCGACGATACCACTGAGCTTGAAATTAGACAGAGACGTGACGTCGGTCACACCCTGCTAGACTAGCAAACTCGTAAGATCTCAAAATTACCGGACAGTAAAGTTTCCAGACAAAACAACCTGCGCCGTTTTACCGCCAGCTCAGATTGTGAGTGAGACTTAATTAAATTTATATCAGCACTTTTCTGTTCTCATCATGTCATCAGCGACAAATAAACCTTTCAGTTTATGTCAAAGGTTATCTCGAGCCATCACTGATGACATCCATTCACATTCCAACTTACTGATAAGACCAATCAAAAACTTAAGGACTTAAGAATATTTTTAAAAAGTTTAGGCTCGCAGAAAAAATATGAGAGTGGTGAGGGCCCAGTCAACGGGCACGATAATAACATTATTTTCTGGGGTTTCAGTTTGATCTGTTGGTGGCATTCCGTCATATCTAATATGTAAAACATATACATAATCAATGTTTACTTTTACTTCAAATTCACCAAATTCTTCCCTTAAAAAAGAATAAAAGAGAGAACAGAACCCCAACCTAACATGCTTAATGTTATCACACTGCTATACTTATTAGAGTCTAATTGAACTTTGGATGTTAACGAGCCTCCAAAGTTGGTAAAACGACAGTAAACAATCTAACAATACTCACTGTTTACTTTATGCATACGTTAAAATCCCTGTAACTATTGATTTTAAATTTAATACTTTTCCGGCCCTATAAGAAATGAAAAGGAAAAAGACGTCTAATCCTCGTTCGACACTCACAGACACGAAAATGCCTCACGGCCTAATAAACACCCCTAACCTTTCAACAAAGTGCAAATTGAAAATTTTTCACACTTCAGAGTGGAAGACTTCTTTGAAACTGATAATATTTACGACCAAAGCCGTGAATCAAAAGAGGTGAATAATTAAACTGAACCAAACTTCTATTCAAGCAATCAAACGTTTGCTCGGAGATAATTCTACTACGCAAAGACCGCGAACTGACAATTGTCACTGCCAACCGTACGAGCAAACTTTCAGCATAATCTTATCTCTTTAGCAAAACAGCGAATTCAAGTTTCACGTGTTCAGTATTTAAAATGTATATAAGGCTGGCAGTATACAGCAAATACTTATAACTTTCGACACCTAACTGAAAAAACAAAAATGCCGACAATTTAAAAAATATGACCGTAAAATCTATCGGCGTTAAGAACAACGAACGTGACTTTAAATTAATTAAATGAGATTCAAAATATCAACAGCCCCAAAAGAACATTTCAAGGACATATGAACATAATGTTACACAGCATCATAAAAGTCACATAAAAACATATTTAGTTTGTATTACTTACTTTTCAATAAGAGAGACAGATGTCACTTACATGTTCATCAAAATTGCCACGTTAAGTCTGTAAAAGACAATATTGCGTAGCTGATACTTAAATTATTAAAATTTAATCTCAATTACAAATTTTTATTGCAGTTTTCATTCCCGCCCGTCTTGTTATCAGCAACCAGAAGTGTCTCGAAATTCAGAACCGAACTGACGCATCCCCGCAGTTCGTAGTAAATACGTCATTGACCGGTCCACAGATGTGCAACTTGTAGCCGCTAACTGTGAAATATATAGTATACCTGAAATTTTAATGCTATGGCAATGAAGAGGTCTATTTCTTGATGATCATGACGGTGGCGACGTAGCACGTCCACAACAAAAACACATGCACAATGAACAAATTTCAGATGAGTCCTCTTTTCTTTTTGTAGTCCTCGAGGTTCAAGGATCGCCTAGGTCCCGTGTCCTTAACCATGTTCATTGGTTTTGGCGTCACGCTAACTGGGTTATCTGTAACGAGGACGCAGAACAAATGCGAGCTACGTACGGACTAAACACACAGATCAGAGTAACATGTCAAAATGCAATGCATGGTTCGGTTAGTAATGTAAAGTTACAGGATGTAATTAAACGTGCACTAGAGTGTTAAATACATACTAGGTAATGGGACTTCTAAATCTATCTTGATGTCAAAATCATGAGCAGAAAAGAGATCATCTGTTTTGCTTCCTCCTCTTGCTACCTCTTTTCTCTTCTCGGGTTCCCTTTCTTGCTGCCTGCTCGGTGTTATCGTCATCGCAGCTTCAATTGCTAGCCTGCTCCTTTCATCTTCCTCCTACGTAAAAAAAAGGACATCGATATTTTACCCAAGAGAATACAAAGGAAAAAATCACATACGCACGGACAAATCAAAAAAAGATAAAATGACGTATACCATTTTATGACAGGTTTTATAAACACGTGCACATAAATATCTAGATTAATTAATTTCAATAACAGAGAACATAAACATAAAAAGTATAAAATGTACTCGCTACGTTACAGTCTCAACGAAATTTACCCTGATTACCTCTGCAGCAAGTATCAATTGTCCATCTTCCATATTTTCTTGGTCGTGTACTTTGAACACCATCCGAGGTTTGGTGCTACGTCGCGTGAATGGGTCATCTGCTTTCTTACCTTTGTTTCTCCTCACCTCTTCCTGCAAAAATCATTATTGGTTTCAAAGAGACGCATAAGAAAAGATTACGCATAAAAAAGTGTGACGAGAAGTTGCCATTTCAAGACGTCTATGAAGAGGAAAATACTTTGCGCAAGTGCATTTGCCTCAGTTCAACAGCTACGTTTGCCTTAAGAGGAGTGTGGAGTTAACGCTAAGTACAGTCTCGATACTAGCACTACGCAGATGTTGGCAGCGACTTCATGCTCTTCTAATCACTGTACCCCCCCAGGAAACAGAACATGGTACCTTTTCGATAGCAGCACGAGTGGATTCCACGGCTGTTATGCTTTCATAAAGCCCTGTTGGTACATGATGTAGCATTTATTTACAATAAAAGACTGGAGTTTTTTTTATAAAGAGATAACCAAATTATCATGGAAAAGTGTTAAATTTCATCAATAAATAAAGTACCAGTTACCAAAACATTAAAATTCAGTTTAATGAGATCAGTTTCAGGTAATATAAATTATTTCCTGCCATAATCTTGTGAATACAGAAAAAAGAGGAAAAATCAGCATGTCTATTTGACCTTAACCTCAAACTTAAAACAAATGCTTGAAATTCATACTTCAAGAGAATGGTAAACGCAGGGATACCGGCATACCGACTAAATCTCTATCTCCGTATTTTCCATCAAGGGGTTTCTCATGCCGGTCCAGAGAAATCTGGAAAAATTCTAAATTGTACAAAACGTACCATGATGGCTTTCTCAGCTTCTTCCACGTTTTTCTTGCGGTTCCGATCGTTAATGTAGCTGATGCTGGAGATAGTAGAGGTGCGCAGTTTGTCCAACTCTTCAGCTCTTTCTTCAAGCGCCTGAAGTTTCTGCTGAATTGTGCTTGCTTCTACGTCATCCCCCCTAACACATAAAATCCCTTCTAAATGAGCAACGCAGGAAATCACACACACAATTTATACGTATACTTCTCTGAGTACAGCCCACGTGGTTAAATCAATGTTCAACGGGCCGGCCACGTCCGTCTGGTGGTAGAAGAAAGCAATGCCTACAAAATTTTATGAGAAAACCCACTGGAACATATTAATGCTGAACCTATGGTATATAATATGAGATGGCTAGAGTTATAATTGAAGGGAAGTCCAAACTGATACATGAAAGGTTTAAAAAGACGAAAATAAATACTACAGTATACAGAACATTCATCTAAAGAGCATCATCATGCAAAAATATAAATGCGTGCCTTTCCTTCTGTGGCAAACTAAATCTCTAATGACAACAAATAACATTAAAAATTCAGCTCTTAGCAGGAAAGATGACACCAAAACTGTTCTGGGACTCCCAGGCACACATCCGCATCCCTAATTATTTAAAATAAAGAATCAAGAACAAGCAATGCATAATCAAAGTACTACAAATCTATTTCTGAAAGATGGTATTTAATATTATCTCATTCTCTGTCCTCATATGCTAACTTTCCGAGAGATTTTATTACTGATATAATTTGTGGATTAATCTGATAAGTAAAGGGTTTTCTGGACATCATCTTGAAGTCTAAATAAAGCTGGAGTTTCAAGCATGTCAATGCCATGGGAAAACAAATGCGTAACGTGACGATGGCGTATATAAGACTAAAGTTTTTAATTCCAGTCTGAAGAATTTACATTGAATGACTCCGATGCTCGACGTGCACCAGAACGAGGCGGTCTGCCACTGAAATTGAGTAATGGTGGTCTTTCCCCAATTTGCGAAAGAAACAAAGTCAATAAATAGAATTTTCTCATAATCTCTTACATAAAAATAATCCATTTCACAATGGCAGTTTGTGTCAATATTACCAATAGAAAGATATTTCTGTAAGCAGCTGTTTGAAATATTTCATTGTAGTTCAATAATTACCTTTGTAATGCTAAACTTTAATTTTTTTTCTTGCAGATTAATTAATACAGTCGATACGACATTACTTACGCACATTTCCTATACACGCAAAAACAGGCGATCCCAGTTAGTACAAGAGCAGGCTTTTCCAAGCATGTTCGTGTTTCCATATTGTAAAATTAGGAAACGAAGGTCGTCTATCCTATTAAATGTGGTAAGTAGGCTAATATTAAGTAGGATTTGAGGTTTTCACGGCAGTGAGTCAGAAGACAGCCATCTTAGGCTAATACTGTTTCTTCTCTTGTCTGTACAAAGTGTGGTTCAATTAATCTTTAATTACAAGTATTGTTATTAATATTATTTGAGATGTGCAACAAATTTATCATCAGACTCACCTTGATTGCGCCATGTCCCTTTCCTTCATTAACTGCGTTTTCTTCATTGCATAGTTGTAGGGGTTTGTTTTGAACCTTTCCTTTTCCCGCACGATCTGTACAAAAATAAGCTACTGTATGCACCACATTAGCCAACCTAGCGTGAAAGATGGGGACCTGAACAATAGAAAATAGAAGTTATTAAAGATAACTAAAGAAATATCGTAGGATTTGAGATTCTCGCGACGGCGAGAACGAACACGACTGTCTTCTGGGTTGAAGTGCCGCGTAGTCCGGTAGAAGTTTACCGACATTTCAGAGGCACATGCTGCCCCAATGATGAAGGTAGCAGGTAACTCTGAAACGTCGGTAAACTTCTACCTAACTACATGGTGCGAGAACTCTCAAGACAGCCATCTTCACAGAAATATTAGTTTGCAAGTAATAGTTTAAAGGATTATTAATGTTTTAGACACACATGTGGTGTGGTACGTACACATGCAAATTTAATATGACACGCTAGGATACTGTTCCTTCCAATTCATGTTGCAGCAAAGAAGTTTTAAACTCTTGGTAGTGCGTCATTTTGCAACTGAAGCAGAGTTGAAAATTTTTCCGAGATTTTGCTTAGTGTCAAGTTATGCAGTGTTCAACGTTTATTATGGCAACGCAATACGCTCACGCTAGATACGAAGCTTGAAGAAGCGCATCTCTGTAAAATCAGCGACTCATCAAAGAGCAAAACAGAAAGACAGTAATGACCGAAGTATTAGTGCCATATCTATGGATGTTCCGTGAACTACAGCTGGAATATTGTCAACGCTACTGTTCACAGTTGTATTCATCTGCCCATCACCATTACACATGCCAAAACAACTGTCAGTAAGCATCAGAATGACAAAATGAGCACCTGTGCTGTACAATTAACGCGAAAGCTAGTTACACATATGCAACAGCAGAATGTACGAGACCGCCATTTCCGCACCACAACTGCTTTGCCAACTCCCAGTATGGGGGCAGTAGTGGGTGTGCAGTTTTGCTTGTAATAATACTATTATCATTGAAAATGATTATTTTTGTATGTCCCTCATGAAGACTTCAAAAAGCACTACATATTATATGAACAGCATTGATATTTCTAACGTCAGTGACATGTTGTGATACCTAATTACAAGTTAGGGGACAGACGTGAAGAATACCACTTATTTAACCATCAGAACAAGCATATTCATGAATTTTATGAATTCTCATATCAATACTGCACTCCTTGCGAATACAATGAATTATATGATTTGCTTACAAATACATTAAAAATGTAAAATGTTTCTCACTTGTTTCCCCATTTGCCTTAAACCATAAAGGGGCCTTTTTTCTCACCACACCCTATGTATTAAGCGTAGAAACCTATGCAAAGATTTCATAAGCCCAAAGTTCAGACGAAATGGGCAAAATAATTGAGAACTCAAGAAATATGATTTTTTTTCCATATTTTATCCACCGCTGTAATAATGCAGATACGTTTCATTTTTGTAAGCCGTTTCAGCTTCTTTCACGACGGAGGCAAATCGTTCCAATTTGTTCACAAGCCCAAAGTCTTCTGTTTATGCATGTTATTAAACAGAAATATTGCTAATATACCTACTTTTTCAATGTCTTCCTCCTTAAACTCATAGATCATGGCTTCTTTGATATCCTTGAGTTTCTGGTCCAGTTCATCATGGGTCGGCATCGGGACGCCCTGCACAGCACATGTCTCTCGCCACTTCATGAATTCGCTGTCTGTGAAATCTTGGTTACTGATGAATTCTAACCTGAATACTCTCTCCTGAGTACCGTGTCTAGAACCAAAAATTAAACGTGAGAAAAGGTTCAGTCGCCCACTCCCCAAATCTTGATACTTTCAGAATGCAGTAAACTCTCCCTCGCAAGAACCCGTACACAGGAAAGGCAAACGATGATAAAAACACTTCTTGATCCAGCAAGACATACGATATGATACATGAAGAATCAAATATATATGTTCCCGGCAAACTATGAAATCCGGCAGTGCGTAGAATGCCTTATGAAATTCAGACATTCAATGGAATGCCCAGGCATTTTATAAAATGCCTCAGATTCTTTAGGCAAAGTATATAAGAAAGGAGTTTCTATAATAAAATTGATACAGTTTTATTTTATCTTTTATATTTGCAAAAACTTAACATAAAACAAATAGGAAGATATAATGAATTACAATAAAAACAAAACTGGGCTAGACAGATCTGACCAGATGGTGGCACGCTACTGTTGCCAAAGAAAACTCATAAAATGGCAGAGAACGTTATTTTCCATCTATTTCATTTATCTATGGTAAATCGCCCTGATGATGGAGGCAGTATGACCTCTGAAACGTTGGTTAACACCGACCAGACTACACAGCGCAACAACCCAGAAGACGGAAATCTTCATACTCATCGCCCTGATGATGGAGGCAGTATGACCTCTGAAACGTTGGTAAACATCGACCAGACTACACAGCGCAACAACCCAGAAGACGGAAATCTTTAAACACTGGTTTTCAAATACAATATCCAACTGAAGCAAACTTTATGATGTGTGTATCACATTTTAAAACTGTAGTATCGCTATCAAAATTTAATATACTGCACTTTTGTTTCGATGGTGAACATTTTATACATAAAAAAATTGGATTATTAATTTTCAAACTACCTTTAAGCCAAATGGCAGTGGGAACTTTAGCATCTGAAATACCCACAAGCTGGACGTGGTAACAACAAATTAATATGGAGATCAAAGAGGAACACAACATCTCAATCTGTACCCAATTTTTTAAAATTAATGTACATACCTAAGTTTCAAGCCTTTGTTTGTTCTTGTGCTTCCGAGTTGGTATATCTTTCCAGTTTCACAAACACCACTGATTTCACACACCTGAAAGAAATGGTTTACATATTACACTGCAGACTACAATCAAATAACGTAGGTTTCCAAAGGCTTCAATCGACAAGTTTTCTTTCAATGTTTGGTTTATAAGGCATGTCTAAAATTATGCATAATACTTGAATTCTTTCAAGATGCTGTAGCAGTTCTCGACATTTTCCAGAATAATAATAAAGTAAAGTAAAGTCGTCCCGCTACGTGCCATACAGGCGCTTGGGGGGAGAGGAGGTGTAGCTCCTCTCTTTCTTGACCTCGGCACTAGATGGGGGTGAGTGGTCAGCATCATGCCCCAGCCACGCTTAACCCCCGGGAAAGGGCTGGAAGCTGGGTGGGCCCCAGAGGCTAGAGGAAAAATCCTCTGCCCCATCGGGAATCAAACCCCAGTCGTTGCTAGTCACTATACTGACTGAGCTATCCCAGCTCCTCCAGAATAATGAAGGACATTATTCAGAATGCAGTCCGCAATACAGGTGTACTTCTTCTTCCGAAACAAAATGATGTACAGTACGACCACAACAGAACAAGTATAGCTTTTTTATAATGAAAACTACAAACCAGTGAGCAAAATAACTGGCACCTTTAATTTGTTCATTTTACACACCCATAAAATGTATAAAATTAGATTTTTCTCCATCTTCATTACAACAAACAATTCCGAACTAGCCATAAATTTTCTTCCAACTTTTTGCATCAACTGTACCTGCATATTCCATAACCGCACGTGTAACCTACCCGAGTCTTTCTAGTCTGGGAGAAACAGATTCACATTCCAGAATACGCTGTTCTTGAAAATTTATCTTAGCATCTTAAAGACGGGTGTCACGGGCCAGGGGGGAGTGTTAGCGTGATACACGTGGCATATGCTCTGCTCGGCACTACTGTTCAAACTAACATTTCTCCAGTACAGTATAAAAAATGCGCCCCACGTAAATAAAACTGTCTAATTGCATAAAGCGAGCCATAACGAGCTGTACCAAAAGCGCCATGAGGAGTGGAGGTGTCAAGGAAACTAACACGGGAAGTAGAGTGCCGTATGATATCCGCGAGGTTGACAATCATTGAAGCGAACAAAGAGACAGACTGAAAGAAAGAGAGTGCGCTCCACTCCCTCCAGATTTTGGCAAAGATGGTATGGATACTCACCTCGACGCTGTCCACTGTAGTGACTACTTGCTTATAAAGAAGCTTTTTGATTGGTTGGGAAATTACTCACCCTATAAACAGGCTTTCCATTGTGATTGCCAATTCCTATTCGTACAAAGCACCCCCTCACGACTCTGTCAAAGAACGGAAGATGAACAAACCTGTAACACGCACAGAATTCATTAAATTCTTGCACTTCATGATTTGTACGTCACGGCTCAAAACACACAGTGCGCCAGTTTTTCTAATTTCCATGTTGCACCGTCTTAAAAATGACATCATTTGAAACCCATTCAGGAATTACAAAGCAGTTTGAACACCGACTAAAAATAATTTTTATTTCATGCTGACATAAGCCACTTTAGCATTAACTGAAAAATAATTTGCAGATAGCAATACACAAATCAGACAAAATCTCAAAAGTCACAATAATTTATAAACTTCTTAAACCACATATTTAGTGGGGGACCCCCCCCCTCCAACACACACATACCTTTCCATTTTATGTCTCGATAATCGTATCTTGTTCAAGTCTTCTCTTTTCGTAACATACTGTACTTTCTTAGATTTTGTACGTGAACTGGCTACAGACCTGAAAGTGATTTACCAGTAATTGAGTAAAGTTAGCACTGCAACATCACACATACAAATGTTAAAGAATTAAAATAGTGCTTACTTAAGTTTTCAATCTGACGTTAAGTAAAGAAAACGAAAAATCAATGTATCGGCATCCGATCAGCAACATTACGACACGATACTCACTTCTTATCTGATTCCGAGTCGCTGCTGCTCCTGGAACTGCTACTGCTACTTCTTTTTCTACTTTCAACTTTGTCTGATTTGTCACTTTCAGACCCACTGTCGTCCGAGTATATATCGGACGCTTTGAGTTTAGTTTTTGAACTGCCCGACTTTTCCTCTGGCTGCTCGCCGTCTTCTTCCTCTCCCTCAACACCCTCTTTTTCTTCTTCACGGCGCTTTTCTTGTTCCATACGCTGCAATTTCTCTTTCTCCTCTGCCAAAGAGCATCGGCGATACAGAGTTTGGAAACAAAAATATGATTAATCTGGCAGGTTCCGCCTTCTTACCGAACACAGTATGACCCTGTACTTCTGTGCCTCAAATGTATGGCTTCATATAATTCCTTTCAGTCCATTAATTTTCCCCCACCTCAGTGGTTGGGAGTTCCCACAAAACAGGCGCCATTTAATCTGAATGTCCCGGGTTTCGCACAGACTGTCATCGCTTGACCCGAATTTACTACTATGATGAGTTAGTCACAACGTTTCAATCATCATTCTAGCTTCCGATCTGCAGCTACTTTTAAGTTAGCAATTATAATCATCACAATCATAACCATAATCACCATTATTTAATCCGGTCAAGCGTGATGTGACAATAAAAATTATTTATTTGAATTTGCATCTTTGATTACGCAAGTCAGCAACAAAAAGGGAAAGAAAGAAATTCAATTTACAAATAGATTTTTGAAAAATATGTGCGGACTCGTTCTCTCGGTGCAACAGCTCTGATTACCGACATCATCTCCGAATAAGACGGTAAAATGTGATCGCGTTACTGAAGAAAAGGCAAATCAGTGTGGATATTCACAGACAGAAAAAAATTACAGGGCAAGATACCACATTTCGTTAAAATTAACGGCTTGTTCCGAGCAAAAGTTTCATAGAATTTGACAAATTACTTGAAATTGCAAAATGATACTGCGCACTTTTCAGTTTCTGGGACGTACGTGACTAGCCAGGATTTGAGATCTTCACAGCTTTGAGTCTGAAGATGGCTGTCGTCTGGGTCGTTGCACCGCGCGGTCTCGTAGAAGGGTAAACTTCTACCAGACTAGCAACGCAGAAGACAGCCGTCTTCACTGCTTAATAATTTACCCACATTATTTGTTAAGCATTCCACTTAAAGAGTTAAGGTCAAGGTTAACTTCAGCATTTCCTGCAATTATCACCATTTTTCATTGGTCCCAGGAAAGTATAACTCGGGCATTTCGATGTGTCCGTACCTCGTTCTCGTCTCTCTTCACGCCGGGCTTTAAGCAAATTCATCGCTGCAGCTTTCTTATCCACTTTACCCCTATTCTCTTCCACCGTCTTCTTGCGTTCTTTACTCCTTTCTTTTGCATCCATTTTCTCCTCCCTTTTCTTCTCCTGGTCTCGCTTTTTCCTCATTTCTTGTTTTTTTGCCAACCGCAATTTCTTTTCAATTTCAAACCTGAGAAACAAAAGAAAATAAGCACACTTCACACATTATTTGGAAGACTAGAACTGCAACGGGTTACTGTAATTTCAAGGGACGTAACCTCCGGCCACCTCGGAAAACGCGCAATGATTGAAACGCGCAGTTTATAATATGGGTGGCATTTGGATAAAAACAAAACAAATGATAAAATTACTAAATTGTTAAGACTGAAGTATGTGCCCTATTATATAAAAAATAAATAATATATCTATACCATACGACAGGCAATAAAATTGCATCGATGCGCAACAATCTCTAATATTCAAAGAATATTCTGGTGAAGTCATAGCTGGATTACACAAAAATTAATTTCTGGATTGGTAGTCAACAAATTTTCATGTGCGCGTGGGCTACAGGACAGCTGTTACTTCAAAATGCATTTTCAAAGCCATATAAATTGCAACCGAAGAAGGGCAGCTTACAAGGAACAACTTTGCATTCAGAAGGGCACAACCGATTTATCATGGAACAGAAAACTACCAGCGACGAACCAAAGTCAATCTCTTGAAAGACTCGCGGCTGAAACAAACTTTGCTCCAGAAGAGGAATTACTATTTAACTTCGCACCTAGTTTTCATTACTTCACGTTGTTCAATCCTCTTGAAAATCTCTTGCTCTCGTTCTTTTTCCGTCATCTGCGCAAGTCGAGCCTGGTCTTCTTCATCGCCCATCAGATTCTCATCGTAGCCATCGTTAAACTCCTCTTGACTCAGAGCTGAGCTGTCGGAGTCGCTTCCATCTGTGTCTGAGACCTCACCTGTGATAATATAAGAAATAGATATCGGCTTCCTACAAATACGTGACGGATTCTCCCATACAAGCTGATATCAAATATAACCCATTGCTCTGAATAGTATTTAATGACATATCAACAGGTTTTTGTACAAAAATACGTACAACAGTACATGCACAGTAGAGTAACTAGACCAAGAGACTCGATTCCTAGATTCAAGCCAGGCTCGCCAAGAAAATACATACTGGCAGAAGTAAAAGGCCTCTGAAGAGCCTTTTTCAGATAGTCTTGGCATTATGGAAATTTAAGTTCCCCACGCCTCTGAAGAGCCTTTTCCAGATAGTCTTGGCATTATGGAAATTTAAATATGACAAGTCAGGGAATGAATAGCGGAGTTTCATAGATCACGATCAATATCATTGTGTGTACATCAATATACTGCACTTAAAACATATTTGCACCAACAATTAAAGTACTTTTTTTAATTTCAAGAAGTCTCATTATTATATAGAACAGCATTCTTGAATGAAACATCATATCTACCAAAATTACAAAATTAAAGAAATTGCCAGCGTAACTCAGTCAGTATAGTGGCTGACTATGGACTGGGCGGCCAGGGTTCGATCCCTGACAGAGGCAGAGGACTTTTCGTCTAGCCTCTGCATCCAGACCGGTTCTGGGGGATCACCCAGCCTCCTAACCAATGGGTACCAGGGTCCTTTCCAGAGAGCAAAGCGCGGGCGGGGCGCAATGCCGACCACTCACCCCCATCTGGTGCCGAGGTCGAGAATGAGTCGGAGCCACATCTCGTCTCCCCACAAAGTGCTCACACGACATATAACGGGACGACTTTAATTTACTTAGCAAAACAAAAGCAAAGAATCAGAAATCATCAGACATTCACCTTCTTCGGGCTCAGAACTCTTTACTTTGTTGCTATCACTGTCACTACCAGATGATTTTGTGACGGTTCGCTTTCCTGTCCTTTTCGCCGGCTTCGGTTTCTTCTTCTTTTTGCTGCTACCCCGCGCATCCCAGTCATCGTCAGAATCGGACGTATCGGAGTCAGTGAAAGTATTCTCAGGCTTCTTGTTACTGTTTTCAGTTGGAAATTCATCTTGTTGCTTAGTTTTCTTCTTCTTTGCAAGGGACAGCAGCTCCTAAAATTAAACATTAACGATAAACACTTTTTTGCTGTCAGTCGAATATCCCCAAAAGATAACTCCTTGTAACATGATGGAATGAAAATAAGCAAAGTAAACTAATTTTAAAGTGCAGTAGATTCCGGTTAATTGGGCCATCGGTTAATCGGGGCAGCCGTTTATTTGGGGCAAATCTTTTTAACTCTTTACGTGGAACTTCAGATAATTGGGGCAGCTACTTAACCGGGCCAAAGTGTTCTACTTTCAACAGTAGTGTGTGTCTGTCCTCATGGAGAACCATTCTGAACTTACTTTAGGAATAACACATTCAATGCACTTTTTCCATGTTATTACCAAATTGTAAGCCAAGGAATTTAGTTGTTAATGCTTCCTTAACTGTACTATAATAAATTACATTAAAATTGGTGTTTGTTTTGTTGTTAGTGGCAAATTTAATGAAAGTGTGTCTTATCAAAAAATTATCAAACATTTAAATCACTTTGGGCAAGTTCCTTCAGTAAGTGATTAATTACAGAGAAAACTTGAAGGAACACTAACACAGTCTGACCAAGTTTCATGTAATTTTGCTGACATTCTATCATAACCACAAGATCTTTTATTTATGGACTCCGCCTTGATGATGGAGGCTGCGAGGACCTCCGAAACGTTCTTAAACTTCAACCAGACTACACGGCGCTACAACCCAGAAAACAGCCATCTTCATACTCATCACCCTGATGACGGAGGCAGTATGACCTCTGAAACGTTGGTTAACATCGACCAGACTACACAGCGCAACAACCCAGAAGACAGACATCTTCTTATTTACATATGTCGTAGCTCAATCAGTATCGGGGTTTGATCTCCAACAGGTGTGTCCAGACCAGCTGAGGCCTATCCATGCTCCTGTCCAATAGGTACTGGGGTCCTGGATTATGTTAGGTTAGTTTACAGTTGATGTGAGATTATGTTAGTAGGAAAATCAAACATTCATTATGTTAACTTCAGTTAAGAAAATGCGAATTTACATCACTAGCGATCATAAATTCAGCTTTGGGATTATAAAGATAATTTATAATGCAGTCTAACCTATTTAAGAATTGCTCAAAACCTCTTGCAGGTGCTCTGTATATTAAAATTAAATTAAATACTAATTTAGATTCCATTTGTATAGCACAAGGATTCTGTATCTTTATCCACGCAGTGACTCATTATATCTTTTTCCAACAAGGACTCCTCCATGCATTTAACTTTTTTCTACAGAAGTATAATCCTGAAGACTAATTTTAAGGATTTCAGGTTGATTAATATGATGTTCAGCTAAGCATGTGGATAAAGGAACATCTGTAACAATGATTAGTGTATCATAAATTTTGTTTAAAATATTTCTAATGTTATGATGGTACAGAGAAAGATTTGTACCTGAATTCCAAGTTTAGAACTGACTAATAATATATAATGATTTGGGTATCTATCAAGTATTTACTTCTGCATTTAAACATTACCCTAAAAGGGTATCTCCATCTTCAGCCAATAATCACAGAAATGTTTATCAATATCTGGCTCACACCTAAACCTGTCACCAATAAGTTGTACAACCTTCATGTCTAATGTAATCACACTTATCCATGCATGATACATTAACAAGTTGAATGTGGGACTTGTTGGCAGTCTAAAGAACACATTCAAGACTCATAATTACACTCCTAACCCATCTGTTCATATCAGGCCTAGTATGCCAACAACTTCAACACTGATATGATTGCTGTTTTTAGTAACATTGTCTAACTCCTTCTCAACTTGGTTACTAAGGGCCCTTTCAAAAGATTTGACTAAAGCTGATCATACAATCCTTTACCATGGCTTTTGCCTAAAATAAAACCTTCTTATATTTCTTTTATTAAGGCTTGGCTTTGGATCATCTGTATTCATGACACCTGAACAACTTTTGAAGTTTCTGATACAGCCAGTCTCAAATTTGCTGCTCAGGCTTACACTAAATTTCAGAACCTGATAATTTAAATGGAGAACCTGTTATAATTCCATTCCATTTTGAACAATAGCATTAGTACTGCCTTGACACCCAACTGTTTACACTGTTTTAAAATCAAAATTCTTAACAAGAAAAATGGTATAAACTTACAGAATCTAGATCTGAACCACTTTCATCGCTCTCACCACTGTCTGAATCAATCAAATTCTTTCGTTTTACCATCCTAAATCCAGACAATTCCCACCCCTACACAAACAAAGTTCCTTCTCTCAAAATGGTAAATATGAACTTACATCCGGTGCGAAACCTACTACTACCGACGTCGCATCCGGCGGAGACTGATTGAACTAACATTTGACACCCTCAGTGATGCCAACACAAAATCCAACAACCGAGCAAGAAAGTAACTATATAATTTCTAGGTGAATTGCCCCAGTTTTAAAAATTAGTGTTAATTGTTTAGCAGGTTCTGAAAACATATAACGATTTTGTTATTGTAAAAGTGAAGTTCCAGAATATGTATGGGACAGACAAACTCAAAATAGGAAGTTTAGCTGTAAAATAAATATGTGTATATCTAGCGGTTTTCTTTTTTTGGTGGTGCGTATCGATACGTTGTACGGGCACTTTTTGTTCAAAATATTCGTTCAAATTAACCGACTTAACCTCAACACATCACGAACTCCTACAAAGCAAACACTGTCACAACTAAGTATATTTCTTAAAGTTCGTATGTTCATTTCCACCATATGTTTATTTTTATGTCTGATCAGTCTTAATGTTGCTTCTGTCCTACCAAATGAATGTTGGAAATCTGGCGCCCACTAAAAACCTGGAATGGCACTTTTCACAGTCTTTTAGAATGAAACTGACCAGAGAAATGTAATCATGTAATTTGGAAAGTGAAACTTCATAATTAATCAAATAATTAACGGGTGTAATTGATTCCTCATTACCCAGATATGTGAATTACATTTTACAAACACATCACATGAAAGTGGGCATTCCCTCCATGAATGTATACACGTACTTTTAAGGAAAAGAAACATGATGAATGATCACCAAAATATGTATGCTCATAACTATAAGTCTACAGACATATCTGCAGACAAGTCTTTCATCTCAGTGATTCATTACATACATCAACTGAATACAAACACTCAGCTCTATATCCCTTTACATTATTTTGCTGATGAAATGACTTGTTGGAAATTTAACTATGATATTGCAGTTATTTGATGTAGCATAATTATTCTCTGATTCATAGGTAAGCTCTGTCTGTTGTCCAGTCAGAATTTCTGCTTCTTTAGGTACGATGTGCATCATATGTGAACTAGAAAGTTGGTCTGTACTGAGATGGACGCATTACAAGTTGACAGAAACCTCACTGAAATTGGATTTGAAATTAATGTATTTCTAAGTGACATATGTAATCAATTCGCTCAGGTGAAGACGTACTCTGTACTTCATAAAATTATTCCTGCGCTTCTGCCAACTTTTAGGAGAACTTCAACTACGTTTGTTCATATGATGGTTACAGTGGGTTATAGAATTCCTGTCTAACATTTGTTTGCATAAACTTACTGCTTCCATCATGGCACATACAAATGTCCTCTATGTGAAGACACATCAGAAACAAACATAAAATTCCAGTTTATGTTTTGAGTAAGGTACTTTGATGATGAAAGTGATCGCTCATATAGTAAATGTGCAAATAATTGCTGAAAGCAATTCAGCACTGGAGAAAATGTGATTACGGAGTAAAGTAGGACGGTAGAAATGTTCCTGAAGCTAGAAACTAATAACATTTTTAACAATTTCTAATCATTAATTCTGCTCAATATATACAGTGAGGATATTTGACATCTGTTGACACATGGCAGGGGCTTTCTGCTATAAACTAGACTAGTATTCTATTCAGTCAGCTGCGTCAACAGAGTCAGAATTTCAGCAGCGGTGACAGGAGCAATTAGTATGTAGTAGGATTTGAAGTTCTCATGATGGTGAGGACAAAGATGGGTTGTAGCACTGTGTAGTCTGGTAGAATGTAATAAAGTTCTCTCAGGCTGCCAGCTGTGTCAGGTGGTTACAAGGCAAAAAGAAACCAACGTTTCAAGAACTATCTGTCCTCATCCTCAGGGTACATCAGTACTAATGTACCCTTAGGACGTTGGTTAGACTCTTTTGACCATTTAGGCAGTTTTGACCATCTGGCCTTTGGGCCATTTCGGCCCTTTTAGCCCATTTGAGCCAGTCAGGCCCTTTGGACAATTTAGGCCCTTCTGACCAATTAGGCCCTTTGGACAATTTAGGCCCTTCTGACCAATTAGACCCTTTGGACATTTTAGGCCCTTTGGACAAATTAGGCCCTTCTGACCAATTAGGCCCTTCTGACCAATTAGGCCCTTCTGACCAATTAGGCCCATTGGAAAATTTAGGCCCTTCTGACCAATTAGGCCCTTTGGACAATTTAGGCCCTTCTGACCAATTAGGCCCTTTGGACAATTTAGGCCCTTCTGACCAATTAGGCCCTTTGGACAATTTAGGCCCTTCTGACCAATTAGGCCCTTTGGACAATTTAGGCCCTTCTGACCAATTAGGCCCTTTGGACAATTTAGGCCCTTCTGACCAATTAGGCCCTTTGGACAATTTAGGCCCTTCTGACCAATTAGGCCCTTTGGACAATTTAGGCCCTTCTGACCATTTGGAGTCGTCTGCAATGACAAAGCTCAAACCTGCTGCTCTGAAATTATATTCGTAGGGACACACATCATGGCTATGATCATGGTCGATATTGTAATCACACGCATTCCCACCTCAAGGCTTTGAGGATCCACCAAATTTGTATCACAGATTACAAGAAACTAAAATGTACAAGTCTTAAGTAGCCTTTGATGGCACAGACTCAATAACAGATTTAAAAAAAATCGTTCAATCCATCTCGAGTTACATGACAGAAAGAACAGTTCATACGACCCCCGATAGATTTCAGCATCATCTCAGCAAACTGAGGGGATAACCATGACGTACCCATAAGCTGTTCTGCACTTACGCAGAAGCGTAGAGATCACGTGACAATGGATTCGAAAAGACGTAGAAGGAATCGGGTTTGTTGCAATTTAATGTTATTATTCTAATATAATCCTGGAGGAACTGACTCAATAGGCTTATAGTCAATCTCCGGGTCGGGACCTCCCGAATGCGAATCAGAAGCGAAAAGCAAAGGATCACTACATTCAGAGCGTAGCAATAATTCGCTTGGGTGTTACGACACATGTTAATGCGAAGAAGGTTACACAAGTTTTCTATCGTAACTCGGAATCGAGCTGCTGGTTGCTCTGAAAAAGAGACATTAGCCACTGACGACTGGTGTAATGTCTCTATAATTGGAGCCAATAAAATATTGACGACTTAAGTGGCCTCGTAGGTTCTGGTTCATAATTAACTAGAATCGTGGGTATTTCGCCTGATGTTGTCCTTTCTACACAGAAGACAATACTGTTTTAAAGCAAAGAGTGCGTGCTGTGATCTCGGGCTTAAGTTTATGATCTTTTAAAAAAAGTTAACTGGATACCTGTATTAAAAATCGTCCAAACCACCAAAAAAAAACGTATTTCTTCTAATTTAATTATTTAGGTTTGAGCAGAATTCTAGGAACAAACCTACAGAACTGAGTTCACTCCAAAGCGAAGACTCAATATTCACGTCTTGTTCTCGAGCAAATCAACTCTAAAAATCTTGTTTCATGCGAACTCACATGATTCACAGTCCTACATGGTCTCTCACTCTGAGGGAGGAACACAGATTGCAGGTGTCTGAGAATTTTGTGTTGAGGAGGATATTTGAGTCTGGGGTCTAGAGAAAACTGCATAATGACGAGCTTAAAAAAATGTACTCCTCCCCCAATATTGTCAGGGTGATTAAGTCGAGAAGAATGAGATGGGCTGGGCATGTAGCGCGCATGGATGGGACAAGAGGTGTGCACCGAGTATTGGTTGGGAAGCCTGAGGGGAAGACGCCTCTGGGGAGACCTAGACGTAGATGGGAGGATAATCTCAGGCGGGATCTAAGGGAGATAGGAGTTGAAGGAGACTGGATTTTGTTGGCCAAGGACAGGGTCCGGTGGAGGGCTTTGGTTGGTTCGGTGATGAACCTTCGGGTTCCGTAAGGCATCTAGTTGGTTAGTTATACACAGTCCTACTCTTCAGACTGTTTCAAATATGAACCACTGTTTTGCTGGAGATCAGAAGGAACGATAATCAGACTCTAGTAACTTAATATTGTAGTGACATGTCATTCTGACATCATTACGATCATATATCATCATCATCTATGGTGTTTCGGGCCATGGCCTCCCCACTCAGGAGGTTTCTTAGTCTTTCGAAGTGTGCATTTGTGAGTAGTGAGTGACCAGCCCACTGACTCTGAACAATTTCTACTCATTACTGATTTGACTGCCAGAGCCATCTAGCAGAGAATCAGGAGTCATGGATGAGAAATGGCGGCTAAATTTTGGTTACGAAACATCTCGTATATATATTTCTATCAAAAAATAACTTTATGCTTCTCACGTGTAGGCATAAAGTATCATAGTATTGAAAGAACCGTGTTTATTGGGGCCAGAATCCTTATTATAACCCACAGTTTTCGGCAGAACTCACAAAACCCACTTTTCTAATAAAACTCGGAATCCTCCAAACCGCGTTGCAGCCTACTTTTATAATAATACAATAAAATGAAATTTAGCTCAAGGGTTAGGGCATTGAGTTCATACGATCATAAGACCTAATTCCACTTTAGTAGGACTCAGAATTCTTGTTCGCCATTGTTTTGTTGATATTATTCTCTTTTAAAGAAAACCTGAAACACAGATTTCGTTTATTAAACTTTTCGGCCATAACCTCAAAGATACTGCATCCATATTTGTTGATTGAAAACAGTACTTGATTCATTATTGGCACACGATGCATCGTATTCTAGTAACCTATTAGTTAATGCTGTCAACAGAAAGTCAATAAAATCTTCGCACGGCAGCCATATTGTTAGTTTACATTCTACTCAAGAAAAGTTTCACCTTTTTTTAAAGCGTTATAATAACTGAACATCGAGTCAGGTCTAGTTCCACCATTACAAGTCCGACATACTCTTTATTTATAATTGCAAGGAATTGAGAAGCAAATAGATTGTGCATCCTTCAATGGCATAACATTCATACCACATTTCGAGCAAACCGGTCAACTTAATCAGCTTAAAGGAGGGAAAATTCACATACGAGCATAAATTACAATATGACGTTTGTTTCTTTAGACAAATAAAATTAGGCTAAATACCATTTTAAGCTGGGTAACATGTAGATACATGCAAAAAAAAATACCCTCTGAACTGAAACATTCTTGTGGTTATGTGTGGTTATATATTTTTAGGGTGAAATTTAAGTACTTAATAATTTTCTAGCATATTTGATCATAAACTGGGTATAATATAAATTCATAACACATGAACCAAGTTTACGACTTAATACAGCGGTAATTTTCGTCGCATACAACAATTAATATTCTTCATTAGCGTCTGCAGTTCGTTTATAATAATATTGCAATGGATCACACAACGTTTTTACGAATGCGTCACAGATAAGATGGCTTACGTAATTTCATTGTTTTTATTGATTTTGTGAATAAAAGTACGTTACGAAATAAAATCAATAGTTCCTGATGTCCACCCTTAATTGTTACTTTGTAAAACTAATTTTAACTTTTAAAAGAACTTTGCCTGCCAGCACGCTAACACGCCACACTTCGAATTAAATTTGAAGTTGACCTCAATTCGTACTTACATCATTATCAAACGAATTTTCGTGCTGAGTTAGTGTCATCTGGAAATGAACATACAAACGTTTAATTATTCTGTGGCATTTTTGAATATCGCTGCTCTTCTACTGGATTGTAGGATATAAAGAAGAGTGAATGAAATTAACCAGCAATTTACAAAACAAATTTCTAGTCTCTTGAACACAGACTGGGTTTTGGTGGAAATTTCAAAAAATACGTAATTATTACACTTCGTCTATGCTGTTGTGTGTTAACACACACACACGATGGATTGCAAGTATCAGAGACAAGTTTGAGAAACACTTATTTTACGTTTCAGATGAATTCATATACAAATTCCTTAAGAAATGTAAGCTAATGTTTGTGATTTGTTACTGACTTTAGCATTTGGATTTAACAGTAAATTTGTATATTCCAAAATACTTTCGGACCGATAAAGACCTAGCGAATTACAGTCGAAAATAAATGAAATATTAAAAAACAAAAAAAAAACAGGACAATTCCGAAGAGATAATTATTGTTCTCAGATTATAACCTAAATTTTAATGCGTAGAAACAAGTTGGCAAACCGCCACGTTATTAAATTTTTTTAAAAAAAATCGTTTTGAGTTTCACGAATTTTTACACGCGGACGGACAGACGTGGTGACGTTAACAGACGCATATTTGCTATTTACCGTTGCGAACGCGCTGTACCAAACTTGTTGAACCTTAATCAAATGCTCTTTCAAGCATTTGATTAAGTTGAGAAGCCCGCATGTGTTATGTAGCATTTTCTTTGAGCTAATTTCCAACGTTCGTCAAGCTCATGAGTTAATGCAACAAACATCTCTTGAGTTCACGATGGTGGTGACAAGCATCCAGAATTGATTCTAGCTTCAAGAGGCTGTTCGCCGTTTTCCTCAGTCATCCGTGCCAAACGCACAGCATTAGACTAAAACAGAACAGCCCACGACTCATGTCCCAATATTCTTGCAGACTTTTTATTCAGTTCCCCCTGTCACACGCCATCGAGCACTACATAACGTGAGCAATTGATAAGGAATTGAAACATAACCAGCGACTGGAGCAAACTCCTCTTGGCGAGCCTAAAATTTCATCGAAATTCTGATTTAGGGATATTTGAGGTCTTCCACTGCGGAGAAAGTTAAGATTATCTCCCCGATATTCTATACTGACGATGGAGGCAGCAGGTTTGTCGACAAAGTTGGTAACTACCTATGTGGCTTTCCGGAATCACAGCCCAGAAGATCGTAGAACAAAACGTCTCATGGACGACATTTAATTTTCAGTTTTGTATGAAGATGTTGCCATTCTGCAATATTCTAAAAAGTGTTGATCATTGCGTCACTGTGGTTTCAGGCGACTTCCTGGCGCGGAGTAAAGGAGCACTGAGCCGGCACCAAACCCCCTTCAAAACCATTGGATACCATGCGGCACCACGCATCACAAACGACGTATGGAGGAGTGAATGTGTAGCTCCACGCATTCGTAAACTAGGCACTAGATAAAGGTGAGTAGGCTGCCTCATTTTCGCCCATTGGATGGGAAACTATTGAAGTGAACTTCACACGAACGTATTTGTCACTCTGGATACGACAGGCTGATTGATAAAGCGACGTGACTTTACAGAATATAATAAATTAATAATAATATAATCTAGTGCGACATTTGCAAAAGTTGCAGTAATTTTTAAAAATAATCAAAACTGGATCCCCTAGTCAGTCATGTAGCAGGAAACCAACTGAATAATAACACAAAACATTTTTAAGAAATATGAAATGTTTTAACAAAAAAAAAATTGTCGTGAGTTTTAGATAAAAGACACCAAATTGCATTAAATACAGTATTCAAAATGCAAAGTACGATATTATGATTTATATGTAGCGAAAAAATAAACCTTTACTTTTCTTAGGTGACTACACTGGGTTCTTTCTAATTAGATATTTATCTTTTCCGTAAAAATAAATTGCATTATTATTAATTATTATTATTTAGTATTATTAATTGAATTATATTACTTAGGTATCGTATTTTTCCCATTCACTTGTGAAATATTATTCAATAAATGAATTGAATTGAATTATTTCCACATTAAAAGATAACATTCTGGGAAGAATTTATAATGCACATTATCTTCAGAATATTTTATTCTAAATCTGTCAGGGAGAATTAAACGATTAACTTATTAATGATTCATTTATGTGCAAATTCTCCACTGTATTATATTTGCCAAGTATGATTTATGATTTGAAAGTTCAGTGGGCTGAAAAATGTTTCATATTACAACCGTAGGTAAGTTTATACTCGGTCTTAATATAAGATTTCAATATTAATATTAGGTTGACGTAGATCCTTCTTGCATGATCTTCACGACAATTCGTCACTTTTTTTTTTTCAAAAGTTGTTAGTGGGACACACTTATGGAAATTATGTCTCACATACACTTTTGTGTCCTACAAAATAAGATAAGTATACAAAAATAAGAATGAAATTATTTATACACAGTTCTCAATGCTCTGATAACGTAAAGTTCGATAATTTGTAAGTTTCCTGGTGAGATTTCTAGGTTATGTGAACACCAGAGTCAAATGAAGTTATGAAAAGTTGTGTATAAAAGCGATATTAGCCTTTCTTACATTTTGCAGAGTATTTACCTGGGTTCAAATATATAATGAAAATTTCCAGTTCCAGTGGAGAGCAGTCTTGAGGTGTGTCTTGAGTCAATTTGAGGTTCCAGCGGCGCCCAAAGCTAAACTATTATTTTCACAAAATAATTATCTGTGATGTTTTACGATGCTTATTTAATGAACAGAAGTAACTACTGGATATTCCATGTCGATTTCCTGTGATGTTCAACATACAAACTCCACTGAGATATACGGATACAGTGTTAAGTAATATCTGAGATAAACTCCTGATAAAATGTAGTCTATTACTGATATATCATTTTCAATATAAATGTTTGTAAATAAACATCTAATTAAGACGCTGTAAACAACTGATAGTAAAGTTTAGTTTTAAAACAATGAAGTGTCGCGTTC